AGTGTATGTTTAAGAAACAACCAAACTATGGTTGATTTTGGAATATTTGCATGACACCCACTGGATGACCATCTCGAGCGGCTATACTATTTTCCTTTCTACCAGTAATGCATGAGGATTCCGGTTACCACGCCATCTTTCCAGCACTTGGCATCATGACTTTTGTTGTTGTTTTCATTTTAAAACATTGTAAATATGTAGTGGTCTCATCGGAGATTTAGTTTGCATTTCCCTCATGACTGATGATATTTGGCATCTTTTCATGTGCTTTTTTTGTCATGCGTGTCTTTGGTGAAATGACTATGTAAATCTTTTACCCATTTTCTTAATTGGACTTGTTTTTTTATTTTTAAGTCTTGAGAGTTTTAAAATATATACTAGATACAAGTCATTAATCAGGTATGTAATTTGCAAATATTTCTCCCTTAGTACATATTTTAATATTCTCTGTGACAAAATACAAGTAAGTGTACATAAAGCATTTCGGCTGTATTGTGAAATACAATACTTGTCTCCAGGAAGAGCACTTCTGTGAAGGAGTTGTTAGCTACAATATAATAGCTCTTCCCCCCACCACACACACACACACGCGCACGCATGCACATACACACATACACATGAAAGCTCATTTTTACTAGAAAGAATGACAGACTGGTTATACAGACTTGAAATTATCTGAAAAGCTCTTGAGATATTCTTTTGTAACTTATGAAGTGAACAGAAAACAATTGACAGTATTTTCACCAGTGATAAAATTAGAGCCTTTAAGTAAAACTCAAATTTTGGAAAGCTTATTTCAACTACTGTGATTTGCAACTTCCTAATACCTAAGTTTTTCTGATGAGATTACCAATGAGAGTAACAGATATGATTTGGGATATTGTCTAATGAAATGAGTTGGCATTGGAAGCTCTATTATACTCAGGGAACTGTTACTTTAAAATGACCAGTATATGATATTATAAAATCATTTGTGGATAAAAGGTCCATTTAAAGTACAGGTTAAAACATCCCAAATCTGAAACTTTTTGAGCACTGGCAAGATGGGAAAAGAAATGCTTGTTGGATTTTGGATTTTCACATTTGAGATGGTCATCCAGTGAGTGTCATGCAAATATTACAAAATCAAAACAAATCTGAAGCACTTCTGGTCCCAAGCATTTTGAATAAGCTGTACTCAGCCTGTGTAAGGTAGACCAATGGATTGTAATGTACGGGAGTTTTAAAAGGCTTTTGATACAGTTTTAGGTTCCACGTTGCAGCTAACCTTTAATAAACTGCCACTTGTCAGGTTTGGGTATACAATAATAATAATAAAAAAACAAACCTTATCTGGAAAGACTATTAAAGCACTCCTCTGTTTTCCAACTACGTATCTGTGTGAGGCTCTTTTCCATTTATATCCTTCAACCAGAATGTATGTCCACAGACTGAAGGTAGAAGTAGACATGAGACTGACTTTAAGGCAGATTAAATTTGCAAAAGTGGCTCAGCGCCCGTAGCTCAGTGGTTAGGGCACCAGCCACATACACCAAGGCTGGGGGGTTCAAACCTGGCTTGGGCCTGCTAAACAATGACAACTACAACAAAAATATAGCCGAGTGTTGTGGTGGATGCCTGTAGTCCCAGCTACTTGGGAGGCTGAGGCAAGAGAATCGCTTAAGCCTAAGAATTTGAAGTTGCTATGAGCTGTGATGCCACAGCACTTTACTGAGGGCAACGTAGTGAGACTCTGTCTCAAAAAATAAATGAATTAATTAATTAAATAAAAAAATAAATTTGCAAAAGTGTGTAATAATACCACTGTTCTCACTACATTTTTTAGGTTTTTTTTTTTGTTTGTTTGTTTGTTTTGACCAGGGCTGGGTTTGACCACAACCTCTGGCATATGGGGCTGGCACCCTACCCTTTTGAGCCACAGGCACTGCCCCTCACTACGTTTTTTTAATTTTAGAAATTTTTATAGAACCATGTTAACATGTAAATTCATTTTTTAATTAATTACTTTTAAATGTCTCTCTGAATTTCTAATATGGTATACAGCATTAGATATGCCCGCACATCACTCTCAAGTTCTTTAGGTTCTTCAGTTATTTGGAAGAGTGCAAAGGCATCCTGATACCAAAAAAGTTAATGGATTGCTACTTAGAATTTATTCATTCCAACATCATAATTGTGTACTGGTGGTGGGACCATGCCCTGGCCCATGTCTTCTTGGTTTGAGACTTCTAGTTCTCAAAAAAGAATTTGTATTTACTTTATAGAGCTGATAAATTTTCTCTTCTTTAAAATAAGATGTCTTGGCTCAGCGCCTGTGGCTCAAGTGGCTAAGGCGCCAGCCACATACACCTAAGGTGGCGGGTTCGAATCCAGCCCAGGCCACCAAACAACAATGACGGCTGCAACCAAAAAATAGTCAGGTGTCGTGGTGGGTGCCTGTGGTCCCAGCTACTTGGGAGGCGGAGGCAGGAGACTCACTAGAGCCCAGGAGTTGGAGGTTGCTGTGAGCTGTGATGCCACAGCACTCTACCCAGGGGGATAGCTTAAGGCTCTGTCTCAAAAATAAAATAAAATATAATGAAATAAAATAAGGTGTCTTTACAGATATTTCTTTAACTCTGTCTTCCTTTATTGTGGATGATACTCAACACTTACAAATAAACCAAGTACAGCCAGCCCTCTATATCTGTGGACTCCCCATCCATGAATTCAGCCAACCAGGATTGAGAATATTCAGAAAAAAATAAAGAATGGTTGTAGCTGTACTGAACATGTATAGAGTTCTTTTTCTTTATCATTATTCCCTAAGTAATCTAGCATAACTACTGTTAACATAGAAATTGATACAAGGGCAAAGTATCTCAAGAGTGGAAGAAAAAGTATCCAATGTACTCAGTCCTACTATGAAACTAATTTATAGCTTTCATGTGAAAACTAGAACCCAATTATAGCCCAAGAATATGGGGAAAGGGAAAAGATAGGGCAGAGGAAGGGGGAGGATGGATGGAGGGAGAATGATTGGTGGGACCATACCTACCGTGCATCTTACAAGGGTACGTGTGAAACTTACTAAATGTAGAATATAAATGTCTTAACACAATAACTAAGAAAATGCCATGCAGGCTATGTTAACCAGTTTGATGAAAATATTTCAAATTGTATATAAAACCAGCACATTGTACCCCATGACTGCATTAATGTACACAGCAATGATTTAAAAAAAAAAAAAAGAAATTGATACAAGGAATTATAAATAGTCTAGAGATGATTTCAAGTATACGGGAAGATGTACCTGGGGTACATGCAAACACTATGCCGTTTTGTATAAGAAACTTGAACACTTGTGGATTTGGTATTTGGGTGGAGAGGGCACAGCCCTAGAACCAATTCCTTGAGGATGCTGAGGGATTACTTACTTTGCATTGCGGGTACCTGGCATTACAGGAGGATGCATACCTCTTTCTCTACCAATTCAACCAGAAACCATAAAGAATAAAGATAGAGGATTTACATCTTACTTAGTTCTTTCCGTTTTTTATCTTAGAGTTTCTCACTAGTACTGGAAGTCTAAGTACCGAGAGGAACAATGAGAGGATTTGTCTAACTCATAATAAACGAGATGTGAACAGATCTTGGTTAGATTTGTTGTTGGCCATATAGCTCACTGATTTGTCCAATCTGGGCCTAGAAGCTGTACATCTTTAGTACTCAACGTTTTAGCTCTCATCAATATGCCATAAGACCCAAGTGTCACACAGTGGTGTGAGATTACTGGCAGGAGCTACCACGTCCAGCCATAAATTCTGTCTTAAGGCCATAGACAAAAAATACTCTGATTAACTGGAACACATTTTTATGCTGTTGTTCCAGTAAAGTTGATTAAGAAATTGTAGAAGGGCTTGGCACCCGTAGCATAGTGGTTATGGTGCCAGCCACATACACCGAGGGTGGCAGGTTCAAACCCAGCCCAGGCCAACTAAACAATTGCAACAAAAAAAATAGCCGGGCATTGTGGCAGGCGCCTGTAGTCCAGCTACTTGGGAGGCCAAGGCAAGAGAAATGCTTAAGTCTAAGGGTTGGAGGTTGCTGTGAGCTGTGATGCCACGGTATTCTCCCGAGGGCAACATAGTGAGATTCTGTCTCCAAAAAAAAAAAAAAATCAAGAAATTGTAGAAAGATCAAACAGTTCTCTTAATTTGGAAACACTGGAGTAATCAGGTTTGTGCATGAAAGACTGTATGATTACAAAATGATTCCTTTTTGGCTTTTATATGCAGCAGTGTTAGATTATAGCATTCAAATGGTGGATGTCGGCCAAGTGATGCTGGTGGGGGGGAGTTCTTGAAACCTTATCACTATCTAAAAGCATGCTAGATCATAGCACTTAATGGCCTAATTTTACTCTCTAAACAAGAAAAATAGTGACATTGCTTAATCCAGGAAAGTAAATATATTTAAAGCTAATAATGTTTAGAAATGTTCTAATGAGATTTGGGGTTTAAAAATGTCTCAGATTAAAATGCTTAACCTATAAAACAGTAGCTGTATAAGAGTGACTTTCCCTCCACCCTTCCTACTCCTCCCACTCTAAGACAAAAAACAAAACTAGAAATAGGACTTTTTCATCTGAATGTAAATTACTATCACACCAAATGGAGCTTGTGGGAATAATGGCCTTTTAGTTAATGTGTAGGATGACTTCACTATACCACCTATAAGTATAGTCTGTTCAGAGAAAAATTAAATTTGTTCTTCTCAAACAAACTTGATATTATGACTGCTTCAATAATGGCTATTGTATTCTGAACATCAGCTGAGAACATAATAGACTGTGTATTTAAAAGTTTTGAACTTTGATATTTGTCCCTGAAGAGCCTTCATTCATGGGAATGGTGGATGCTAGAATGGTGTTTGGTCATAAATGTTAACTTAAATCATTCAGTAACCTGTTCGTGGAATATGTCTGTGATTTCTCTCCTTTCCCTTCACCTTCATTACAGAGAGGTACAAAAGGCAGTCAACACTGCCCAGGGATTGTTTCAGAGATGGACAGAGCTCCTTCAGGACCCCTCCACAGCCACAAGGGAGGAAATCGACTGGACCACCAACGAGCTGAGAAACAACCTGCGTAGCATAGAGTGGGATCTAGAAGACCTTGACGAAACCATCAATATCCTTTTCTGTGGTGTCTATTGTGTCTGGCGCAAACAGGCAGAGTAGTTTTTATCTAGATGTCTCTAGTATATAGATGAGACATTGCCTTTCACAATTGATTGATGTTGCTCCTATTTATACCATGACACATTTAAAATAATTGCCCAGTAAGCTAAGGGAGAGTAGCCAAATTCTTCTATAGTGCATGGCAAATACTATAGTATCAAGGCAGCAGAGTGCAGTGCTTATAACTTTGGATCCTAGACTCAGACTGCTGGTTTCAAGTCCTGGCTCCAGCAATGTAAAGAAAAACAAACAAACAAATCCTGTTTTTTTCTGTCTCACACTTGACTCAACATAGTATTTCAGACACTAGATGTGGGGGAAGGGGTTTCTTCATGTATTTCTCTAGCAGATACCAGCTAGGTGTCATACAATTCAGTTTAATTGTGATACTATCTACCTGGAGATAGCATTAGATCCCACAGTTTCAGAACTCAGTCCCACAGAAGTGCCCCCATTTCAGACATAGTTTGCAAGCCTCAGACTGAATTGGGGTTCCCACAATCCCTTAGTTTGGATTAATTTCCTAGAGCAGTCACAGAACTCAGGGAAACACTTTACATTTAGCCATTTATTATAAAGGATCTTGCAAAGGATCCAGACGAACAGCCAGATGGAAGAGATGCATAGGCTGAGGCATGAGAGAAGGGGTAGAAAGCCTCCAGGCCCTCTCCAGATGCTCTGCCTTCTGGGGACCTCCATATGTTCAGCTACCTGGGAGTTTCATGGACCCTGTCTTTTTGGGTGTTTATGGAGACTTCATTATGTGGGCGTGATTGACTGTATCATTGGCCATTGGTGATCTGCTTAATCTTTAACCCTTTTCCCCTCCCCAAAGGCTTGAGGTTGGTGTGAAGACCTAAAAGTTTCAAACCTTTAATCACTCGCTTGGTTCCTGCTGGAGTGGGGGAGAGAATAGCAGTAGTGGTAGGACAACCTTCAATCTTAAGGCTCTTATCTGGAAGCCCCAACTACTAGCCATATCATTAACATGCAAAAGGCATTCTATCACTCTGGACATTCCAAGGGTTTTAGGAACTGTGTGCTAGGGATAGGGGCAGAGACCAAATACAGCAGAACCTCCATAGTTGACTGCCTTTCTACACTGACCACCTCCTTAAGTTGACCTAATTTCCACAGACCAGACAGACACGCACCATGTACAGATCAGTACAGTAGGCCTAGTTCATATGTTGACCAGTTTGTTACAGTCCCTTGAGTGTCAACTTACATACTTTTTACATTACAGTATCACAACCAATTACTAGCTGACTTGGACACATTGGAAAACCTCTTCGTGCTTCAATTTCCTCTTCATTAGAAATCAGGACAATGAGGATACCTGGTTCATAGGATTATTGTTAGGGTTATACTGGTAAAGAGCTTAGAGTGGTGCCTGGCACACAGTAAGCTTCTATGATAGTGCTAGCAGTAGAGGTGTATATAGACCAGTGTTATATATGGGTAATGAGACATCAAAGGAAATTCTTTTTGTAGACTGTCTTCTTCCTGCTTAAGAAGCGATGTTAGTTACGATGTCACTATTCACTGGAGAGAAATTGCACTTAGTAAAACCAAATCTATTGTGCTAATTCATGCCATCGATGTTAAGTAAGTCCACTGATCTGACTGATAAACCACAAAACTGTAAAAACTGAATTATTAGCTTATTTTCAACTGGAAATTCCCTTTAACCAAAACATTATATGGAAGGTACATCATTTGCATGTTCTGAGTTCTGCTTTATTTTGTCCTAAGTGAAATTGAACATCAAGGAAATCAACTTTTATCAGTATCATTTCCATAGTTAGTATAGGTTCATATGCAGTTGATAATGGAGTACATAATTCCTATTATAATAATCCCAGATACCTTTTAAATTATCAGAAGGCAAACGTGTTTCTTTATTAGTGGAATAAAATATATTGGGGGCAGGATCAAGGCACAATCATAGGGAGGTGCTTCTTCTCTTGAGACGGAAAGGAAGGAAAAAAGTTTGGGAGACATAGAGAAATTGTGAGGTAAAGAGGACATAAGTTTTAATATATATTTATCATTCATTTGGCAAAAATTTATTGGGTATACTGTATCAGACATTTTGTTGGTTACTGAGATTAGATTAATAGTATGCCAGCTCTCATGGAACTTTGCATGGGGTAGAGGATAGGTAGTAATCAAATAATAAATATGCATTACAGTAGAACCTTTGTGAGTTGATCACTGTAACTGGTCAACATATGGAGCTGGTCAACATAAGGAACTAGGCCTACTGTACTTTTATGCACATGTGATGCATGTCTGGTTTATGACAATTAGGTCAACGTAAGGAGGTGGTCAGTGTAGGGAGGCAGTCAACTGTGGAGGTTTTCCTCTGTGTACTTACAGGCTGTGAGAGAGAAGTATGGAGAGCTATGTGAATATGTGACAGGGAGCATAGGACCAGGCTAGTAGGGAGGGGATTGGAGCAGCTTCCTGAAGAAGGCTTGCTTATTCTAGATTAAGAAGTAGAGTCAGGGCTCAGTGCCTGTAGCTCAGTGGCAAGGGCGCTGGCCACATACACTGGGGCCTGCCAACCGACCATGACAACTACGACAAGAAAATAGCCGGACATTGTGGTGGGCGCCTGTAGTCCCAGCTACTTGGCAGCAGCTGAGGCAAGAGAATCACATAAGCCCAAGAGTTTGAGGTTGCTGTGAGCTATGATGCCATTGCACTCTATGGAGGGCAACATAGTGAGACTTTGTCTCCAAAAAAAAAAAAAGTAGAGTCAGCATCTTGGCATAAGGGGAAATGGTTCTTGGAATGGCAGTTGAACACAGTTTGCAAAGTCTGTTGAAGGAAAAGTGATCAGGAGTCAGAAAAGGATAGATACAAGTGTTGGCAAATACCAGGAAGAGGGCCCCTCAGCTTTGGTCAGATACCCATGGGTTTTTAGTGAACCCAATCAACAGAGAGGGACTATTTCTTAACCTGGCAGGTCATCTCTGTCCATCACTGTAGAATTAGGGCAGGGAAAATTTGAGAATGATTAGTGTCAAAGTGACTAGGTTTTCAGAAAGTTTGGGCCAGATTTTATTGCTTGCATACAAGAGATTATGTGGTTTAACAGGATGTGGCGAGTTAGACTTTCGATGATGAAGTTGCTTTACCTTGACTTTTTGACCCACGCATAGTTGAAGCAAATCCTAGAAAATTCAACCTCGATGCAACTGAACTGAGTATAAGAAAAGCCTTCATAACAAGTACTCGGCAAGTTGTCAGGGTAAGGAATATGATCTTATTGTATTATCTATATAAGAAATAGCCCAAACGTCTTAGAACTCTTTCCCTTAATTGAAAACTAATAGGTCAACTCTAAAACTATTTTTTAGTATGAATTAAATCCTGTTTTCCCACATACAATTTTTCTGGTTGAAAAAAAGGAAATCTTAATATTGTCAAGCTTATTAGAGCAAAAATGAAATGGTAAACTGCTGAGTTTGGGTAGGTTACATTAATGGATTAATGGGAATTACTTGTTCATACTTCTAGTTTCTTCAAACCAGTTACCTTTTTTCCTTCTTATTTTTGACAAAAGGAAGGATTACTTTTGTAGAAACCATTTGGTTTCTTGATTGATTGGTAATCCCTTTGCATTGTTGAAGCGTGACTCAGTTTGGGTTTGGATGGCGGCCTTTTCCACCATCTGAATTAACTTCTGGAACTCCTGCGGTAACCCGTGTTACTGACATTTCCATATACAACTGCTTGACAGCCTTTCCAGAGTTATCTAGAGCAAGCAGGCATCTATCAGAGTATTAAAAACAATTAAGTAAACAAATGTTTAGTCCTGAATTATTTAGAATAATACCTATTATTAAAGAATCTAAGAGAAGATACTATTTGAGTAAAATCTTATGTCATTAAGATATGTTTTGTATTTTGAAACTATGTGGCTAAGCCATTTGATTAGCATAACTAGATGTAAGAGAACCAGCTGTCTTTAACATATGTACTAGAAAGCAGCTTCCTTGAATAAAAAGACTTGGGATCATACCAGCACTAACATATGGCTTTTTAAGAGTCATCTTAAGCAGGAACCTTGGTATATGTTTGCCAAAGGCTTTATATCGTGTAATTTCCTTTCGAAAATGGTAGATTATCAGTGAACTTTATATATTCTTGTTTCCTGTTTTATTCAGTAGATGCCTTTCTATATACGTATACCTAAAATTGTTTATAAATAAACCCATGTTTTAATGGCAGAAACCTCTCTGTCCCTCAGATGCCCACCTACAAAATGAGCATTTGGATTTGACACTCCTATTTTCTTTTTTTTTTTT